TTTCAGAGAGAGGATTATATATATCTTTGATCCATTTGCTATTATCCTGTCTCTTTTATGACTCAGTTTTTCTGTGAAGTTTTTATTATCATGAACTCAGTCTTTTTTTTCATACTCTCTTCTATTCTTTTTTTCCCGACTTCTCCTTCTCCTCCTCCTAATCCCTTTCAACCCAGATCTGATTCTCCAAAAATCTTCATTGACAGATTTTTGCCTAGCTGTTTCTACAGAATCTCCTCATTGGTCCTTACCTCTCTTCCCTACATTGAGTCATTATTCACTAAGGGAGGGAACTGTTATTGTGGAGAGATCTCTGGGACAGGAGTCAGCTCCTGTGATTACTGAAGAAGTGCTATAAACACCAAACCAAACCCATTACCATCGAGTTGATTCCAACACATAGCAACCCTATAGGACAGAGTAGAACTGCCCCATAGGGTTTCCAAGGAGTGGCTGGTGGATTTGAATTGCCGACCTTTTGGTTAGCAGCCGAATGCTTAACCACTGCGCCACCAGGACTATGCAATGCTTTAAGAGTCAGAATCTCTGGGCTTCAGTTTTCTCCTTTGTAAGATGAAGAAATTAGACTCTCTGATTTTTAAGACTGGTTGAGTTTCAAACATTCTGCAATTCTGAAACTTTGAGACAGTTTTCAGAGTTAAGCACAACTGGCTCATGTGGAGGTAAAAAGATTTTTCATTTAGGCTAATCCCATAGAGAAAATGGCCATTATTTAATGACAAGTAATCTAAGACTCTTACAAAAAGAAGAATTTTTGTAACTCTTAATATCTAATGTTCCTGAGTCTAAGATTATGGTAGACTTTTATCCAAGGCAGACATTTAAAATATGTATGATATGATAGCAGTGAGCTGCTGAATGTTTTAAAGTTAAAAGAGACAAAGTGAATAAATCTCAGTTACTATTTATTCTAGTTTTACTAACTGTGGAGTAAATGTCTGGAATTATGACAGTCTTGCAAGAGGAGATGGAGCTCTAGGTGAAGATTTCCTTGAGGTAAATCTGAGTGATAAGAGGCCAAAAGTACAAAAAATATCTCCAAATCAGCTTAGGGCTGAAGTAATGGACAGAAAATGGAAACAAAGGGTCTGAAAGCACTGTTTAGTAGAGTAATTAGGCTGCAGCATCTGTCATTCTATTGATCTCTTGGATTGATTCCACTTATCTGGTGGGCCAGGCCAGTGTCCCCTGACTACCTCATCTCTCTCCACGCATGATTTGGAGAGGACATTCTTCTGGATGGAAGAGAGCCTTTTTTCAGGCAAGCTGTACTCCTCTGCTAGGACCTAGCATCCCTGGGAAGAGAGTAGAGGTAATATACTTAGTGTTATTTTTCTAAGAGAAACAGATGTATTGGATAAATTTTAGTGATTTACAAATTCATTCATTCAATCAGTCAGTATTTACTGAGCATCTTTAATGGACCAGGCACTACATCAAGTGATGGTGAATCAGTCATGAACAAACCAGACATGACCCTGGCTTTGTGAAGTTTGTGACCTCCCCCATCTTAGAGTTCAATCCATAGAGGTTGTTCTGCCTCCCCCACACTCCCCTAGCCCCCCAAAGAGTAAATTAGAACATATTTTTGTCATCAGAATCTTTTCTTTTTTGACAGACTCAAAAATTATGTGGTACAAATATTACAGGAAAATTTCATAGGGTTTTGTTGGCTCTGATACACTTCAAATGCTTCTTAAAACCACACATTGACATTTTCTTAGGCGATTCCTTTGAGCAAAGCTGTTGCTTGTTAGAGTGGTTAAGTTTTACTGTCTTTTTTATGTAGTTGTAGAGTACTGCCACCTCCCCTCACCACCAATATATTTTCTTTATGAAGTTATCTCACCTTTCAGTTTCTTTTCTATCACAGAGTAGGATGGAGATCTGGGATTATAGGAGAACTACTTCTTGTTAATTTATAACTCAAATAAAAGGCAAGAGAGGAAACTAACTTTTATTAATAATGCTTTGCTAACAACCAGAATGCTTCTTAGAGGCAAGGATGGCAAGACTACGTCTCACATACCTTGGACATGTTATCAGGAGGAATCAGTGCCTGGAGAAGGACATCATGCTTGGTAAAGTAGAGAGTCAGCAAGAGAAAGGAAGACCCTCAACAAGATCGAATGACACAGTGACTGCAACAATGGGCTCAAGCATAGCAACAATTTTGAGGATGGTGCAGGACCGGGCAGTGTTTTGTTCTGTTGTGTACAGGGTTGCCATGAGTCGGAACCGACTCGACAGCACCTAACAACAACAACAATTATTCAAAACTGTTTATTGTAAAACCTGTGAAAGTTGGAACCAGTGTAAGGCAGAAACCTGTCAGAGAAGGAAAATGCAAATATTTTCCACTAAACGAGCTATAGAAAAGTGATTAAGACGGCATCCTGTCAAAGGTGGAAAATTTTCGAGACCTGGAAAAACAAGGGAGTTCCAACCAGTTCGGCTCTCACAGGTTTCACTGTATTATTATATATCAAGCAGTGTGCTAAGTTCTCTGCATGTATCTTGTTTATTCCTCTTGAGATGTCTTAAATTTCTGGTGAGGTATATTGGTTTCCTAGGATACTGCAATTGAGATCTGATAAGGTAATCTGAAAATTGCAAGGGCTCAAAATGTATTGTTGACTCATTGCTCCTTTAACTTGTTCTTATCTTTGATCAATGCACTACTGTCCACTCTGGATCAGCTTCAAAGTCTTTCAAGGATTTAAAGCTATTTTTGTAATTTAAAACACCTATAACTTTTTTTTAAGCTCAGTGTTTGGCAGTTTTCTGGTATACCAAACCCAAAGCCAAACCCATTGCTGTTGAGTCAATTCTGAGTCATAGCAACCCTACAGGACAGAGTAGAACTGCCCCATAGAATTTCCAAGACTGTAAATCTTTATGGAAGCAGGCTGGCATATCTTTCGCCCATGGAGGAGCTGCTGGGTTCAAACCTCCAACCTTTCGGTTAGCACTTGATTGCTTAACCACTGCACACCAGGGCTCCCCATTCTGGTATAAACCTCCCAGAAATGTGAACATATTGTGATTTCAGTTTGGCTTCTTTCATAACTTTGGCCACTGCAGAAATTCCTCTTACTATGAATCATTTGAATGAATAGGACTTGTTCCTTACTGTCTGAAAAAAAATCGACACGATTAACCCTGAGGTTGCTAGGTGGTAGTATGTGGATTCTAAATATACCATAATGTGCTGTACTCTAAGTCATTTTAAAATATCAGAGTTCAGAATCTAATCTAGTTGTCAGAAAATCTCTATTCCAAAAATAGCTCTTTTCATAATTAGTATTGGGATTGTATTTTATAGTGTCGCAGAAATCCTTGAGATATTAGTTCTCTTGAGTAGTGCTTAGGTCGTGTGTTGGGATATAGCCTTTTCTAGATGTCCTAAAACAATACCTTCCCTTTAAAGGCCTTCTAGACCTATAATTGAGATAGCTTCAGAAGGCACTAGGCAGACCCCTTTAGGAATCCCATTCCAGAGTATTCTATCAAGATTCATTTCTCAAACTTAGAAACAGATACACCCATAAATCTGAAACTGGGCTTCTACCTTTTACCCACTGCATTAGTTGACAAATGAACTCTCAAAAACCAGTGTGTGTGTGTGTTTATCTTTGTATTATGAGAATTATTAAACATATACAAAAGTCATAACAATAATATGACCTTCCATGTCATTATATTCATCAATTATCAACATTTTCCTACTCTTGGTTCATCTGTTTCCCACTTTTTTTTCCCCTTGGAGTATTTAAATCCCAGACATCATGTTTTTCACCCACAAGTATTTTAATGCATTTATTAGATTTTGAATTTTAAGTAAAAAGTTGAGACTAAAAACTGTTGTTTATTATTTTTTGTCTTCTGTGGCTAAAAGTAGCATGATTCCCATGTTTGTAATATGCTGATAAGTTTAATTTTCCTAGGCACATTCTTGTCTTTCCTTGACTACCTCCAAAACTATTTTGTTTCTGCCATAGCAGCAGTCATTATGCTGAGTCCAGTATTAACAGAGAGTATGGTGCTACACAATCCATGTGTATGTATAAATAACTTCAAAATTTTGCTTTCATTAACTATTTTTATTTCTTGGTAGTCAGACCATTAGTCCAAGATTTTTACTTTAGACATAAATCACCACTTTCCTATTGCAGGCTTTATGAATTTCTGTATTGTAGTAAAGTGGATATTTTGAGTGTTAATAATTAATTAATTAATAATAATTACTAATTGGGTTAGTAAAATGATACTGGGTCATTGGAGTGAGCGTAGGCCAACGTGATTTAGATTTTATCAGAATTAAGAATTATTTTACTAACTTCAAATTCCTGAAAACAAACAACAAACCCAGGCTTACTGGACTGGTTGACACTAGAGGACTCTCGAAACTATTGCCCTGAGATACTCTTCAGACTTTGAACTGAAACTAACTCCTGAGGTCACCTTGTAGCTAAGTAACAAATTGGCTCAAAAAATAATGAATATCACCCGTAAGTACTATGCTCCTTTAAAAAATCACCTATCTGAGACCAAAAGATCAACAAGTACTTTAAAATAAACATGAGAATGTAAGGGGGCAAGGAAACCTAGATGAATGGAAACAAAACAACCAGAATGGAAATAATGAGAATATTCACGTTTTGTGAAGCACGTAACCAGTGTCACTGAACAACTTGTGTAGAAATTGTTGAATAGGAATCTAAACTACTGTGTAAACCTTGACTGAGAACACAATAAAACATTATTTTTTTAAAAAATCATTTTACTTCACAAGCATAAGACAATCTCAAGTGTTTATGCTAAAAAACTAGGATAAGTTGGCTAATTTTAAAAAAAATAATAAAAGGACATTAGAAAACTTTTATGGTTTCTACTTTACTTCTATTGCTTATATGTTCCATAATATAACCAACCATAATACCTCTGAGAGTCTGACTCACTAACTAATATCTTTTCAGCGGAACTCCCACCTCCATATACAGCCATTGCCAGTCCAGATGCCGGTGGTATTCCAGTTATAAACTGCCGTGTGTGCCAATCTCTAATCAATTTGGATGGCAAGCTTCACCAGCATGTGGTTAAGTGCACGGTGTGCAATGAAGCTACGGTAAGTGGAGTTTTCCATTAATAAAAGCATAAATTGTTATCTGATGGCTTATCCTTTAGCCAAAGTATTTCCATAATGTTACTTAAAAGTAGATGTGGGCTGGATGCAAACATGGTGATCTTTTTAATACTTTCCTTCTTCTCTCTCTGTCTTTAAGAAAAATTTCATGGTGAATTTAAATATAATGTTGTTTGGCTCTTTATTTTCTAAAACGAGCTGACTGATATGGGCAGTTATTTATAATTATCTTCAGTGTCTGTCCATGTCATAAATAAGTTCATTCTGATTCTCACTAAAATAAAAATGTACTAAACTTCAGTAAAAATGTAGACTTTGTCCTTAGTATGTGGAAAATCATTTACATTTGTTTTATGGCTATAGAATGTCAGTTTGGTTTTTCTGGCTTTTATGATTATGCATTTATTACTGATATCTGTGCTAGACTGTTCACATATAGTTTGCTGTTTGATTCCACTAACTTTGTAATAATTCAGTGAAGTGTTCAAAAAATTTTGAAAGGCACAATTTTCTACTGACTTGATACCTTAACACCTTGGGAAGAGCAATTAAATTTTAAGCCAACTGTTTATGATTATAAGTAATAAACTGATAAAGTGTGCAGATGAAATAGATTTCTGCTTCCAGGGTTAGGCTTTATTTTTAAAATTTCAATCCCTCTCAAAATCTGCAATTATATATTAATTTAATTTTTGGTATTTGTATTTTTTTTTCTTTAGGAAATCTAAAAAAATGTCACCTAGCAATTACTGTATCTCTAAGAACCATAAAGGAGCCCTGGTGGCACAGTGGTTAAGAGCTTGGCTGCTAACCAAAAAGTCAGCAGTTCGAATCCACCAGCCGCTCCTTGGAAACTCTGTGGGGCAGATCTGCTGTGTCCTGTAGGGTTGCTATGAGTAGGAAACAACTTGATGGCAACGGATTTGGGTTGTTTTTAAGAACCATTAACATGGATATTGGGCTTTATATATTTTCTAATTGTTTTATATTGGTAAAAGTATAACAAAACATTTGCCGATTCAACATTTTTTTCATCTACAGTTCAGTGACATTGATTACGTTCATCACGTACAACATCACCGCTCTGTTTCCAAATTATTCCACCATTGTTAATAGAACTTACTGCCCCCTAAGCAATGACCCCCCCTGCCCCCTCCCTCCCACTCCTGGTAACCACTAATAAACTTTGGTCTCTATACATTTATCTATTCTAGATATGGGCTTTATATGTTTTATAGGAAAGTCATAAAATAAAACCTTAAGTCATGAAACAATATATTTGATTATAAATATTTTCTTCTGTAAAGGACATCATTTAGACAAGAACGTTATTGTATAAATAGGTGATCCCTACAAGACCAGCTATTTTTAAATTGAACACTCTCTAGTAATTTAATTAGCATTAACTTTCTCAGTGTTCTTTTCACAATTGGCAAGAGAATAACAGTTGTTACACATAAATAACAATTAAAAAATTACCAGTACCTTAAAAGTTTCTTTGGATTTGGTATTGGTGCTAATTTCTTCACCTATTCCTCCTCCTGTAGCAACTTTTGTTCTTCAGTTAATAGACAAAAGGCATTTTAAAGCTTTATATTTACACTTGGAAGTAAGCAGGGACAAAAGACTAGTTGCCGTAGAGTTGATTCTGACTCATGGCAACCCCGTGTGTTTCAAAGTAGAACTGTGCTCCATAGAATTTTCAATGACTAATCTTCCAGAAGTAGATCACCAGACCTTTTTGCCGAGGTGCCCCTGGGTGGATCCAAACTGCCAAACTTTCAGTTAGTAGCTGAGTGCTTAACCATTTGCACCATCCAGCAGGGCAGAGTAGGACTTTTATGCAGTACTCTCAAAATCATTGTGGATTTAGCCGACAGAGTCAATCTGGTTACTTAGAAGTGATGAGTTCATACAGGGTCAATGTATTATTCATACAAGGATTTGATAAGCTAACTTCCAAGTTACACTGAAATTTTGATATTATTACTGGCCTTGTGAAGAAGTCAAGAAATATAAATAATTGTGAAGATTCTACAGAAAGTGAATAGGATCTAAGCACATTGTCGTGTTTGGAATCAAGAACATTACAGAGGAGGAGAACTGTGAAAAATTCTTTGAGGAGGGCTTTAACAGGTAACGACTGGCTAATGTTTAAAATGTAATATAATCTTAAATTTATCTGTTTAAGAGGTGTTAGACAACTACAAGCATCTCTGGGAAAATTCTAGATAGGAAAGAACTGGTATGGTGCACCAGGGTCCCTGTGTTCACTATCACTGTACCCCATGTGGAAACCCTGGTGATATAGTGGTTAAGAGCTACAGCTGCTAACCAGAAGGTCAGCAGTTCGAATCCACCAAGTTCTCCTTGGAAACCCTGTGGGGCAGTTCAACTCTGTCCTATAGGGTCACTATGAGTCGGAATCGACTTGATGGCAACAGATTTGGTTTTTTGGGTTTTGTACCCCATTCAGCTTTACTGTGATTCACTCTCCTCATGTCACCGAAACCAGGGTATCAGTGTGTCTACCCTACTGAGCATCCACTTCCAACAGGAACCTGATATCTCTGTGGAAATTTTAAAAAAAAAAAAGGCCCATAAAGATCCTCTTTATTTCAATAGATGAAATTGGGAGGGAAAGTTAAGATTTGTGTTTTGTTTTGTTGTTGTCAGAAAAGATGGAAATGTTAGCAACGTTTTGAGAATACAAAATTTAAGATTAAGGGAGAAGGAATTTCTCGGACAAGATAATGGAAAACTTAAGAAGTTCTGGAGAAAGAGTGCTTGGCTGTGTAACTGATTATGAGGCTGAGTTTTGGAGGATGATAGACTGGGGCTCAAGTCCCAGCTCTGTCATTTAGTAGCAATATTTCCTTGAGGAATGGACTTCTCTAAACTGCAGTTTCCTCATACAAAATAATGTAATAATACCTATTTCAAAGGCTCGTGGTTGAGATTAAAGGAATAGAGCACCTGGTATAGTGCCTGGCATGTACAAGTTAACTTTTTCAAGTAAGAATATTAAAACATATGCATAAGGACAATATCCTTTTTTTTTTTTGTCATTTCTCTGCAGACCAGGAACCACATGGCATGGACTGGCACTGAAGACCAGTGTTTAAGATTTAGTTCAGCCATCTTGTTTCATGAGGGAACTGGGGTCTAGAAGTGAGGTGGGAATAAATTATAAAAACAAATCTTGTCATTTGCCAAACAGACATTTAGTTACTGGTAAATTTCAGATTGACAGAACTTAACCCAAAGTATTCTTTTCTTGATACTTTTAGGTACTATAGCTATCCAGCACGATGTCTGTAAATTTTAAATATTCACATTTTCAGATATCTATAATATAGCTTAATAAATTTATAATTATAGCTTAATGAAAAGTTAGATGATAACTTTTATATATTTCTACAATTGTTACTTAAAATGTTTTTATCTTGTTATTTTGAAATAATTGTAGACATACAGAAAAGTTACAAAAATAATAGTACAAAGAATCCCCATATGCCCTTCACCCAGATTCTTCAAATGTTAATATTTTACACATGCACTTTCTGTAAATAAGTAAGTAAATTCTGGTTTTTTTCCGAGCCACTTGAGGGTAATTTCAGGCGTTGTGTTCTTTTACCCCTAGATACTTTAGAGTGGGTTTCCTAAAAACAAGGACATTCACTTATATAATCACAGTACAGTTATCAAAAGCAGGAAGTTAACATTGATATAATACTGTTATCAAATCTACTGACCTAATTCATGTTTCCCAATTGTCTCACTAATGTCTTCTATGCAGAAAAAATCTTGTCCAGGAGCCGATCTAAAATCACATGAGACATTTGGTTGTCATGTCTTTTTAGTCTCCCTTCGTCTCAAACGTGGTCTTTTTTGTCTTTTATTACCGTGGCATTTTTGTAGGCTGCAAGCAAGGTATTTTGTAGAATGTGCCTCAGTTTGAGTTTGTCTTATGTTCCCTCATGATGAGTCTCAAGTTACACATTTTTGGCAGAGATGCCACAGGAGTGACATTCTGTTACTCCCAATATAAGCTTAAATCATAGTACTGAAAGGTATTTTTGGTGTTGTTTTGCTTTTAAGTTTAAAAAAAGATGTTAGTGTTAAGAACCATTGCAAGTTTTTTTTTTTTTTTAAGCTTAAAAAAAAAAAACTCCTTTGCCTTCTAGTCGATTCTGAATCATAGCGATCATATAGGACAGGGTAGAAATGCCCCATAGTGTTTCCAAGGAGTGGCTGGTGGATTCGAACTGCTGACCTTTTGGTTAGCAGCCGAGTTCTTAACCACCAGGCCACCAGGGCTCCAGGATGCCATAAAATTAATCACTTCTTCCATTCTAATAATAAAGTTTAAGACTAGTTCAGATTCATCATGTACTCCTCTTTCCCCACTATTTTTATGGTACTTGCTCACCTTCTGTGAATGTTTGCTCCTGGCTGGATAGATGTCTTATTAACTTTAAAGAGAAAACAACTTTTTGTGTGCACTAATTATTCCTCCCATATTAAAAGACCAGTAAGAACTAATTTTGAAATGTGCCCTTGAGAACTTAAATCTCTGCAGTCCCCAAAACTTCGTAGAGTGCTTGCCAACGTTTGTGCTGTTTGAAACCACTTTTCCTTAAACTGTGCTTTAGTGGCACTATGGCAAACCTTAGGTTTAAAGGAATCATTTCATTTTTAAACAAAAAAACTTTGGCAATCCATACTTTGGTTACTTTGCTATGTTTGGATTTTCTTTCTTTATCTAGCCAATCAAAAACCCTCCAACAGGGAAGAAATATGTTAGATGCCCTTGTAATTGTCTCCTCATTTGTAAGGACACGTCTCGGCGAATAGGATGTCCAAGACCTAACTGGTAAGAGATAAAGATTCATTCATTGATTCATTCACCCATTTGTTCATTCAACAAGTATTAAAGGCTCATTGCATGCCAGGCTTTGTTCTAGACAGAGTCTTTGTCCTCAAATTAATTGCAGGATCTAGATTTTTTTTCTTTGTTCGAGGAATGATATGCTTAGTCTGAACTTAATGGTCGTAGGTATTTGTAAGACACGATGTTCTTGAATGAGCAATGCATTCTCTTGTTATTGTGTAAGTACTTAATATACTGTAATAAATTAGTGACTTATTAAACTTATTTAAAAATAACCAATTAGTGTTTTGTCATTATATGCCTCGTTGTATGCTGACTAGTCTCTACTGAATATAATTCTTGAATAATTTGTATATGCCAGATGCCATTATGGATATACACAGATACAAGTATTCTAGGACCTTAACCATGTGTTTCTTCTGTGATTTCTTGCTTTTTGACCATTACATGAATCCTCTGTAGCCCCATTTGATGGTGGACTGGAGAACAGAAAGGAAAAGAGGCGCCTGTTTTGCTTTCTTTCAGACCCTGACTAAATAGGCATCAAGGAATACCAGACAACTCAGAGAAATTTGATAACTCAGCGTCATGGTACCTTCATGGCATAAACGTATATGTTGATGTAATATTTTAAGTTAATTTATTTAGTCTTCTACCAAGTTCAAATTATCATACTGGATAGGGAATGATAAGAATTGTTTTCTGATTTAAATGTATCAAAACTTGGAAATGGCAGTTAAACGGTTCCCAAGGGCATTGATTAGGACCAGCATCTAAATACATGGTTCCTATCCCAAGTATAAAAATACCCTCATTTTTTTGCTTTTGAAAAATCTGATATTGCTACTTTACATTATCTTGCCTCCAAAGCTTGACGCTTAATTTATAAAACAAGTACGATGTGTTTTCAATGATATATTCTATGTCCTAGGCCATATGTTGCAGGTTTTGCCCTCAGTTTATTTATGGGATAATGAAATTGTTTCCTATCTCTTTCCATAGTAGACGGATAATTAACCTTGGTCCAGTAATGCTTATTTCTGAAGAACAACCAGCTCAACCTGCATTGCCAGTCCAACCAGAAGGTACAAGAGTCGTGTGTGGGCACTGTGGAAACACATTCCTGGTAAGTAGAAAACATTTGTTATAGAGACATCAACTTGTAAATATAGGTCACAATCACATAGACCTGACAACTGCTCTTATTCTCATAGTGTTGTCCAAGTAAAAATTGGTCAAAAGATTAAGATAGAGCCTTATTTGGAGAAGACAGTGAATCAGAGCTGCAGTTAGGATATATAGCGTGTTTTATGAATTAAATAGGTGCCTCCTCTGGTTCGTTCAGTTGCAAATAGGAACATCTTTGGGTGAACCAATGAGAAACAGCACCCTTGTAGCCAGGCTTAGGCCAGGGGTGCCTTGGGTTGGTGAGCAGCTGAATCTTAGCCTTACTGTCACCACCTCAGCAGAGCACAAGGTGCACAATCTCATACAATGTCCCTACTTCATGGCTTTTAGATTCAGGAAAAGTTCTTATAATTTATCCAATATTTTCTGATTTTTTAAAACTATACTTGGAGTAAAAATAAACTCTAACATTAAGAGTTACATAAACCACTGCATAGAAGGTCTAAGTAATTTGATATCAGCAAAAGTTATAGTTTTTGTTTTACTACTTCTGACTTCAACTCATAGCTTGATTTTTAGAAAGTTAAATGCATAATAACTGACTCCATCAGGAATGGTAAGAACTGATTTTCTTTTGTTGCCCAGCCTTCATAAGAGATAAGAGATTTTCCGTAAAATCTGAATATTAAAGGAAATTTCCAGGCTGTAGAAATGCGAAAGGCTGAACTAGCAGTGGTCTAAAACCACTTACTGTCACTAAAGGATGAATAAACTTAAGAAAGAGTAGGTGATTTGCTTTCTTATTTTTTTCTTCTAATTTTTAGTAAATCAATTCATACACATAGTTTTAAAGGTCAAATGGAACTGTAAATCTCATAGGGAAAAATGGTAGTCATCGCCTTATCTAGCTCCATCTCCCAAATACTTTCAACTTGCAGCTGCTCTTCTGGTATTTACTGCCATATGTTTAAATTATTTGCTCATACTCTTAATCTATGATTACTGTATTTTTACACAAATAACACACACCTTTTAAGTTTGTTTGCCAACTGCATCCTCCCCCCCGGCAAGGTATTTTCATAAGTGCCGCTATGCCAATTTTTTTTTTTTACATGTTGCTGTAAAAAAAAAAAAAAGTATTTACATTTTTGGAAACCCTGGTAGCATAGTGGTTAAGAGCTACGACTGCTAACCAAAAGGTCAGCAGTTCGAATCCACCAGGCACTCCTTGGAAACCCCATGAGGCAGTTCTACTCTGTCCTGTAGGGTTACTATGAGTTGGAATCAACCTGACAGCGATGGGTTTTGGGTTGGTTTGCGTTTTTAAGGTCCCTACGTGGCACAAACAATGTGCCCTCAGTTGGTAACAAAAAGATTGGCAGTTTGAACCCACCCACATACCATGGAAGAAAGGGCCCGGTGATCTGTTTCCATAAAGATTACAGCCAAGAACACCCTATGGGACAGTTCTACTTTGTGACAGATAGGTTTTCTCTAAAGTCACAAACCAACAACAAAAACACTTAGTGTCTACTTTTTTTATGTTAGTTAAATAATGTTCACAGTTAAGCCAAGTAATATACTACATTTTCTCTCCTGTATAACGTAAAATTTTCTAAGATTTTTAAGTAATTGCCCACCTCCTTTTGGATTTTTTATTCTATACACAAATTGTTAGTTCTTACATTCTTTTATAGAAACTATTTTTAAAAACAAACAAACAAACCCATTGCCACTGAGTGAATTCCGACTCATAGCGACCCTATAGGACAGAGTAGAACTGCCCCATAGGGTTTCCAAGGAGCGGCTGGTGGATTCTAACTGCCAGCCTTTTGGTTAGCAGCCGAGCTCTTTAACCACTGCGCCAACAAGGCTCCAATATAAAACTATAAAATTCCTATCATTATAGTCAAACACACCAGGGAGTCTTTTATTTAGGCATTCTGCTACACATCTGTCATCTTGGGACTTCCCTTCACCATCATCCTAGGAATTTCTTTTACCTCTTTCCAGTGTTGGATCCTGTACCATCTTCATGGTTCTTGGTTTACTCCCTTACTTTGGTGGAGCGCAACCTGTCTTAGCTTTCTGAGAAAAGATACAGAGAAAATAAATTTGTGCCCTTTTATTTCTGAAAATGTTCTTAATCTAATCTCATATTCATTTTATAATTTGTCCAAATTAGGAATTCTAGTTTGCTAGTTGTTTCCTCTCAGAAATTTGAAGGCTTTACTCCATTGCTAATGAGAAGTTCAACTGCTAATGGGACTGATCCTTTCTATGTGATTTATTTTTTCCTCTTTATTCTCCCTTATTTCTTTTTCTTCTTTAATTTTCTCCAGTGTTCTGAAATTTCATGCAGATATGCTTTGGTAAGGGTTTTTTGCACTCACTGTCTGGTTACTCAGTAGCCCTCTTAAAGTGGATCCATAAACTTCAGTTTTGGTAAATTTTCTTATATTTGTTTGATTCTGTTTTTATTTGTTTCATTTTCCTAGAACTCCTTCTATTAGATCTGCTGGATATTCTTTCTCTTTCTCTGTCTCTCTGTTAACATATTCTTTCAATTCACTGTTTTTGTTTTACTTTCTAGGTAGTTTTCTCCTCAACTTTATCTTCTTAACTTCATAAAATTTTTAATTTCAGATTATCTAACTTAATTTTCAAGAGCTTTCATTTATCCTCTGATTGAATTTTCCATTTTTATAGTGTTCTCTTGTTCATGGCATCTTTCTGAAGCTATTGATTATATTTTTTCTGAGGTTATATTCATCTCTATGCATTGAATCTGTTTTCTCCCCTACTTTGTCTTTGTTTCTCCCCTACTTTTTTCTATTTGTTTTTCTTTTGTAATAGAGGCTTTTCTAAAAGATCATTTATATTAGAGAGTAAGTCACTGATTGGAATCTCTATGCATAGAGACAGAAGCTAGAATTATTATTATTATTTTTCCCTTTTCTTCTACTTATTTTTTTTAAGAGCTTTCAAATATTAGTAAGTCTTTTTTTAGAGCCAGTTTCTCTGGTGAAGAATTCTTGTGAGGGGTAAGCCTAGGGGGCAGCATTCTAGGAGCTGAGACAGATAACTGGGGTGAAGCTCTCACCTAGTGTTCAGACTGTAGGCTTCAACCTAATTCTTTTGTTCTTAGAATAGTGTTTTATTCTTGTGTGCCTGGTGTTCTTAAGTCTACAGGCTCTCTAGTCCAGTTCCTCTTCAGAATAAATCGCTTTTCTCCTGCATATGTTGGGTGTGGTGGTTTTCTGTTAGTATGCTGTGGAGGAAGTGTTTAAAAATCCATACTCTTGTTTTTATCCCTACCCCACACTCCACCTTTGGAAGTACCTGGGGGCTCCAGTATCTGATCCATTTTGAGATTCTTCAGTGTGAGCTAGCCTGCTTTTCTTTGGCATATCTCTTTGCGGGCAGGTAAGTTTTAGTATTCTCCCTTTCACTAAGTCAGTTACAAGGCCTCCATCAGCTCTCCATTGTCCAAAAACTGGAAACCATCTCTGGTCATTTTTAACTTCATTTGCTATAATTTTAGTAGGATTTGAGGGAGGAAATGGAAATTCATGAGTTTATTCAATTTACCACATGCAACCAGAAGTGCTAGGATTTTTCTAATCCATACAGTAGAGCACGATGAATATCCTTCCTTGCATTTATATTCTTATTAAGTAAATCAGTCAAATATGTAAGTTAAAAAATGTACTTGGTGGGATAGGTACCCATGCTCTTTAAAAAAAAACACTATATATTGATTTAATACAAGACAAAACACTCTCTAGTTACTGATAAATGTCAAATGAATTGACTATCTTAAATATATATTAAACATATTATTATTTTTTTCTTTTATGTGAACAAATTCTATAGTGAAAGAGATAACATTTAAAAATCTTCAAAATAGATTTCTTTTCAATCTACTTCAGGGAGGATCCTCCCTTCCACAATTGCCTTGCATTTTGCCCAGGTATATTTTATATGCCAGATCTTTGCCATTGGTAATCATTGTAGCCACATTACAAATGAGCTAATTTTATTTGTTCAACAATATATGTTGAATGTCTACAAGACACTCATCTGTGCTAAGCAAACATTGGTGAACAGGAAGGCACAGGTCCCTGCCCTCATTAAGTTTTCTAATCTAATGGGAGAACAAAGACAATTAAAACAAGTAGTTATAATGAAATGCAGTTGAACTACAGTAGGGAAAGTGCAGAGTGCTCTTATCACATAGATAGTAGCACCTAGCCTAAACTTCTTTTTCCTAGAGGCAGTAACATTATCCTAAGAGTAATGGAAAATCATAGAAGAGCTTTATGCTTAATTATGCACACATGGCTGCTTTGTATAGACTGGATTGCAGAGAAACAAACTTGGAGAGGCAGGGAGAATGGATGTTTGGCTTTTATCATTCAAAAAAATGGTTGAGAATAACATAAAGAATTTGAGAGAGAGAATTGACAGTACTAGGATGGGCCCTAAATCTAATCATTTCTGAGTTATAAAAAGAGCAAAATAGACACAGGGGAAAGATGCCATATGAAGACAGACACACAGGACAGGTGCGTCTATAAGCCCGAGAACACCAAGAATTGTGGCAGCTACAAGGAACTGAAATAAACAAAGAAGTTCCTCCCCCTAGAGCCATGCCCTGAAGTATGACTTCTAGCTTCCTGGACTGTGAGAAAATAAATTTCTGTTCTTTAAAGACAAAAAATAAAAAAAAAAAACAGATTATTTTTTTAACAGTATTTTAGCATGCATCATTGTTAATATCCAAGAGAGAAGTTTTATGTAGTATATCCAAATATTTTTTAGCCTCCAAACTTTTATTGAGGGTTCATATAACCACAGTAGTCTTTTGAGGGACATTTTTAGAAAATAATTTTATAGAATAATAAAGGGAATATGTATAGCTTTCAGCAAATCATACATGAATATAAGGAAGTTTCTTTAGACAACAAAATAGCAGAGTTTAATAGTGTGTTCTGT